TGCAATGGCGTGATCATAGCTCACCACAACCTTAAACTCCTGGCCTCGAGGCATCCTCCCGCCTCAGCCTCCCAAGTAGCTGGGATTACAGGGGAGAGCTGCTATACACAGTTCATTTTTAAATTTTTTTGTAGAGATGGGGTCTCACTATGTTGCCCAGGCTTGTCTCCAACTTCTGGGTTCTAGCAGTCCTCCCACTTCAGCCTCACAAAGTGCTGGGATTTCAGGTGTGAGAGAGCCAGGGTGTCCAGCACCCTTTCCTTCCTTTAGGCCTTCCAGTCCAAGCTGGAGGAGGAGCACTCCAAGAACTGGTGTTCCCCTGTGGCCATATAGGGCAGAGTGACAAGTCCTGTGAACAATCGGAGAGGGTTACAATGTGACCCTGAGCTCCCATGATCAAGGCATCTGTGTGATCTTGTGCAACTCACTCAGTTATGCCAGGGATGAAAAGGATGTTACTACCTTAAATCATCTCCAAGTTCCCTTTTTGTTCTAGGATTCTAAGAGATGCCACAGCTAGGATGAACTGAAAATAAATTTCTCCAGGAGGATAGAAAGTCTGTAGCAACATTACTTTCTGTGCTTAAAACAAGTATATACTGTATACATATGTGCATGTGCACGCTCACCTGGGCATGCATTTAAATATTCTTTTTTTTTTTGTTGTTAGAGTCTCATTCTGTCACCCAGACTGGAGTGCAGTGGCCGCTCCCGGCCACCACAGCCTCGACCTGCTGGGCTCCGGCAATCCTTCCACCTCAGTCTTCCAAGTAGCTGGAACTACAGGTGCGCGCTACCACGCCCAGCTAGTTTTTGATTTATTGTAGAGATGAGGGCTCGCCAAGTTGCCCAGGCGGGTCTCGAACCCACAGGCTCAGGCAATTCACTCACCTCAGCTTCCCAAGGCGCGGGATTACAGGCTGAGCCACCGAATCCAACTAAATATTCTTAAAGCAAGGACTAAAGTAAACTGACGCAACCAGCCAGTGCAGTATGTAAACACCTTGAACAGCTGCACTTGAGAATGAGAACATCAGTCAGATGTGCATCACTCCACCTGGATTGTGGGTGTGTATACCCACACATATCTATATTTCTAATTGCATAGTCATAACTTTTTTTTTTGAGTCAGTATCTCACTCTGTTATGGTCCGAGTAATGCTCAGCTGCTCTCCCTCAATATCAATAAATCAAGGGACAGGGAACAGGTAGAAAGAGGTTTATTTCTGAATTCGAACCCAGGGAGCAGAGCTGGAGTCCTGGACTTTGTAAAATGGTCCTGCTCACCCTTCAAGTTTGGCGACCTACTTTTATAAGTTCAGGGTAGTTGGTATACATTGACTAAGTGACTGAGCAGTGTATAGCACTTAAGTCACAGCCTTGTTTCCTGGCAGCAGTTACCAGAGATATCGCACAGCTTTTTATCAGTAGCACCCGGCAGAAGTGTTAATCAAGCTTGCCAGAGTATAAAGGGAGTCAACAAGGCCTAAGACATCATAAATTACTACATGTTGTTAAACGCAAAAGTTATGCAAATCATGAGACTTATGGTTACCTTGTTCAAACCTGTGAGTGCTAAGAAGAGGGAGTAAGTGGGATCTTACATCTCTCATTTAATTGGGCACAGTCTGCAGGGAAGTTAAAAATTCTTTGAAGTTATTTACTGGAGTGCATAGGCGATAAGGGGGAAGCACACCTTTTGTCAACTCTCAGGAATGTGGGTACCTGCAGGAGCTCTAAAATCCTTGCCATGCCCTTCTCTAGGGGTTGTGGCAATATGGACAGACCATAGCGGGGTCTCCATATCAACTCTGTCACCCAGGCTGGAGAGCAGTGGCACCATCACGGCTCACTGAAGGCTCAACCTCCTGGGCTCAATCCTTCCTCCCACCTCGGCCTTCTAAATTACTGGGATTACATACGTGAGCCACCTCACCTGGTTCAGTCATATCTATGTCTATAGATATCACCATTGTTTATTCTACGCTTACTACATGCCAAGCACTGTGTTACCCCTTGGCACGCATTCTTTCATTGTCCTCTTACAAGGACAGCACAAGCTGCATTTCACAGCTGGCTTGGTAGCTGTGGCAGTGCCTAGGGTTATAGATACTGGTTATTTAGAAAAAACAGGCTGGGTGCGGTGGCTGTAATCCCAGCACTTTGGAAGACCGAGGTGAGGGTTGCCTGAGCCCGCAGGCTTGAGACCCGCCTGGGCAACTTGGCGAGACCTCATCTCTACAATAAATAAAAAAATTAGCCGGGTGTGGTAGCACGCGCCTGTAGTTCTGGCTCCTTGGAAGGCTGAGGTGGAAGGATCGCCGGAGCCCAGCAGGTCGAGGCTGCGGTGGCCAGGAGTAGCTGCTCTCCAGTCTGGGCGACAGAGTGAGACTCCAACTCAAAAAAAAAAAAGAGAGAGAAAGAAAGAAAATAATAAACAAGCAGTTTGGCCCTATTCTCCACCCCTCCACTATGTACTATTTCTTGACCTTGAGAAAGGGTGGGGTGGGGTGGGTGTTTCTCTTGTCTTAACACAGAAAGTTAAGCATTTGGTCTTACATTCTTGGGGCGCATTTACTATTCACATTGCTGCTTCACAGACTTTCTTTCTTTTTCGTTCTTTTTACAGGGGAGAGCACGAACCCAGTTCCCTCATTACCACAATTAAATGCAGTCAAGTTTTCCACATTTAGGGAAATCACAGGGTCTGCTCATACGCTCATGGGTAAGCCATGCCCTGGGGAAAACCACCTTCCTGATCATGGTGTCTCCCTTGCCACATAAGTCTTCACAGACCCTTCACAAATCAGTTAATTCAAATTTGACTTTTGTTCAATCCAAAGGAAAGGAGGAAAAAAGAATGTTAAAACGCATAAAAGAAAAAGTTGAGCCAGGCATGCTGGCTCACGCCTGTAGTTCTAGCTACTTAGGAGGCTGAGGCAGGTGGACTGCTTGAGGTTGGGAGTTTGAGGGAGCAGTGAACTATGATCACACCACTGTACCTCAGCCTCTGCAACACAGCAAGACCTCATCTCCAAAAACAATAGTAGTCAAGAGAGTTGAAAGCTATTTAGTTGATTTGCTTTGAACAGGATTTATTGAATTTGGGAAGTTCACTTTTTTTTTGAGTCAGAGTATCACTCTGTCACCCAGGCTGGAGTGCAATGGCATGCTCAGGGACATGGCAGCCTTGACCTGCTGGGCTCAAACAATCCTTCTGCCTCAGCCTTCCAAGTAGCTGGAACTACAAGCACACGCCACCACACCCAGCTAAGGAAGTTCACTCTTGATATGTATGTCCTTTCTAGCCATCATTTGTACTTTTTGCTCAAACACCCATCACTTACATTTTTTCTTTTTACAACTTTTTTTTTTTTTTTTGAGCCAGGGTCTCACTCTGTTGCTCAGGCTGGAGTGCAGTGGTGTGTGATCACCACTCACTGAAGCCTGGAACTCCTGGGCTCAATCGATCCTCCTGCCTCATCCACCCCAGTAAACTAGAATATAGGCATATGCTACCACGCCTGGCTAATTTTTAAAAAGTTTTTAAAAGCCGGACGCGGTGGCTCAAGCCTGTAATCCCAATACTTTGGGAGGCCGAGGTGAGGAGACTGATTGCCTGAGCCCATGGGTTCGGCAGCTTGGCCAACTTGGCAAGACCGCATCTCTACAACAAATCAAAAAATTAGCTGGGCTTATTAGCCGGGATGACAGAGTGAGATGCTGGCTCTTTAAAAAGTTGACTCTATTATACAGCAACTTAGCCACTTGAATATGAAAATGGATTTCCACCCTAATCTACCTTCTGAAGCCTGGGCTACATACACAAGCAGCCACCTTTATTTTTCTAGCATATTAGAAGACTAGAATGTGGTGGTGGCACTGAAATGACTGATATTGCTGTCACCCCTGTGTTTCAGCGTAAGGTTCTGTGATCTCTTTTCTGAACATGTAAGTTGTCGACAGGCTGGGGTAAAGCACTTATCAGAGAAGAGTTTGCTCTTCTTACAGTTTTATTTTAGCAGTTCCTTTACATGGTTACATCTTAACAAATGAGTGAAACTGATTTTTTATTTTATTTTGTTGAAATTCCAAGCATTTAGTTTTGGAGTTGGAAGAAATTTTGGACAGAACCAGTATCCTGCCCTGGCAGGACAAAGACCAGCAGCATGTATTACAGCAAAGGGCCTCAGACCACACCCAGTTAGGACTATTTAAGCTGACAGGTTCTGGAAACCTTAAAATATTCTCTTCTACCTGCTCACCTAGGGCGAACCCATTGCCAAAAACTTCCAAGATAAAAGTCTTCTCTCCTCCAAGTCCAGATTTTTCCTGTTCTTGCCTCTCTTAGCACTGGTGATTTGGGCACTGTTTCTTTTTTTTTTTTTTTGAGTTGGAGTCTCACTGGAGTGCAGTGGCTGCTCCCGGTCACCACAGCCTCGACCTGCTGGGCTCCGGCGATCCTTCCGCCTCAGCCTTCCAAGTAGCCGGAATTACAGGCACGCGCTACCAAGCCCGGCTGATTTTTTGATTTACTGTAGAGATGAGGTCTCGCTGCCCAGGCAGGTCTCGAACCCGCGGGCTCAGGCAGTCCACTCGCCTCAGCCTCCCAAAGGCGCGGGATTATGGGCTGAGCCACCGTGCCCGGTTTGGGCACTGTTTCTAGTGAATGTATGGAATGATCATCTTTCTTCGATGTTTAGGATCTTACTGTTCCCAGCTTTCCTGAAATGTAGTGTCACAGGAAGTTTGTAAGTTTCAGGGCAGGTAGGTCTGGGTCAAGCTCCAGTGGAGACGCTTACTTGTCTAACACTGTGCACAGGTTAGTTTAGCCTGAAGTTGGCTTCCCCATGTAGAGTAAGACCTGTTTTAGAGGATGGCTGTAAGGATAATGTGTAAAACACATAGTATGGTGCTTCAAAAGACACTCACTTTCAGTATGGCATGTCAGCAATAGAGCTCTGTATCTTTTGTGCATGAAATACAAAGAAAACAAGTAGCACTGGTAACAACACATTTATTTACGTACCCTGTTGTGTGACGGGAGGTGTTTTTCACTTTCCAATCATTGATTCGGTTATAACAATTAAAATTCCAGAAGGTAAACTATTAATTTATTGTTGCTCATAAGCATAGGTAAACAGACACGGTACCACATAAAGGAATCTTAAACACATCTAACCTTTTGGTATCGCTTTGACTATGGACGAGCAGACTTTGGCAATGGACCTAAGAGGTTACTGATACGCTTCCAAATCTCATGGTTCTCTTCAGACACAACAGAAAAAATGTGGGTTTCATTTCTGAGTGTCAGAAGATTAACCAAGATTTTTAGGAAGCTGCAAAAGGCCAACATGACCTAAGCCTGTCATATTTCTCACCAATATAATGTATTACTATTAACATTAAAATCATGGTAGGCAGCGGTCATTGCTAGTCTCATTTCATAGATTAAGTTAGTTTTTGAAAAGAACTCACCTCAGATGGCAGGCTATTAATGTTTAAAGTGGTTTAACTTAATCCTTTGTGTACTAAAGCAATTCCTATAGATCCCAAGTCAAAGAACTGGCTAGTGTATCAAATTGGGTTTCATAGCAGAATCAGCCACTTCCAAGCGACTGCATCACACAGGACGTTTTCTTTCAGAATGCCTTTTGTTCTTGGCTTCAAATCTTACAGCATATACTTTTAGAGGGTTTGGTACGTGTAATACATGGGTACTCATTGCTAGAGCAGGATATAAGAATGTGCTGATCACCAAGTAGGAGATTTACATTACATTAAATTAAAATTATACACTGTCGGAAACAGACAAGACAGGGAGTTCCCAGATCCTAAAAATATTATGGCTGAGGAAATAGAGAACTCAAAAAAGGAATCCACCTCCAAGAAACTAATTCAGTATAGTAAAATAGAATTAAGTGCCCTGTCTTAGGAAAAAGTTTATTAATAATAAGGATATCATACATCGTTTCTTTGGAGATTAAAGTGCAGGCTATGAAATGGCATATAAAATAATGCATAAAATAGTGCAATGTTAAGGTGCCATTATTTGTATTACACATAGCCTATTTTAATACGTTCATTTTTCTCTCAAAAATCCAGCTGTAGTGACACCTTTTAAGCTTATCTATTTAGGCATTATTTATACTGTTTTACCCACCTTTGGGGCTACATAGAATATTTTAACATCTTTAACATGTAGAATAATTGCGCATACATCTTGAAACTATTAAATAGAGATTAAGGCAAGCCCCTGTAAAGTTCAGTACTCCAAAAAACATGTTTTACAAAAAAGCTGCTTCCCAAACCTGTGGTTTTAGACCTGACGACCCCGACAGTCTTTGACACAGTATAATTAATCTCAATACATTTGTGTTTGCCCATGATTGCCAGGCTCCGTCCAGGAGTTTGAAAAACAGCAGATTCTATAACCTCAGACTATGTGAAACCAAGTAAGCCAAGTCCATGTGGGCGAGAAGCAGAGGATGCGGCTGGGGCTGGGCGGGCCGTCCTCTATACTTCTCATACATGCCTTTCACAGTTTATCCACGTGTGCGTGTGTAGTGTTGTACCACCATCAATCTGTATGTGGGAATGACCCCTTAAAACAGAGAAGTCTCCTCTGAAAAGCAGCCAAGGAAGATAATGGGAACACTTAAAAAAAAGTCACACTAGGACAACATGATATTAACACCACACGGCATTTAAATAACTGATGTAAAACGCAGGGCAGGATGGTTCTCTTTCAGGAGATTAATTTAAAATTTTCCGGAACGTGTCAGTTTTAGCTGACCAAAACAATTTGTGGTTTGGTGAACCTTAAATACCATTATGCTATCTATACGCAAGCATAACAGCTTTCACATAACTGTCCTAATGAATGGTGAAGGCAATATCCTAACATGTTTTAGCGAGATAGTCTAAGCAGATGTAAGACTTGGACAACTGAACTGTAGTGCTTTATTCTACTATATGGAACATTCATGCATTAACAAGTGCAACGCATCAGCCTTACGAACAGGTGATTATAAGTGCATGCTGTAGAAATTTGGATTTTGGAACAGAAGAATCTACCTTCTAATAGTGTGACTATTTATTATGAAAGCCAAATACTCATGTTAACTAATGGAAGACCATACATACATTTAGGCTATCTGTAGTGACTTTTAATAATTCACTAACAGCTATTAGAGAAATAATCTGAGGCTATATTCCTTTGATGCATAAGGTTTATACTTTGTAACCTGTAGACATATACTTTGATACTTAAAAAGTCTTCCTATTACCAGAAAAGCAGACTATTAAAGGTCACCGTATTCCAGTAGGCCTCCTCCAAAGTTATGATAATATGGCTAACTCCTATGATTACAAAAATGAGAACTGCTGAGAAAATGACTTCCAGACGGGGACTTTTATGGATGACCTTGGCTGACAAATGTTTTTTGGAAATTGTTTTATTTTAAAATTACCTTCCCAACAAACCATGAAACACTTGGATGTTACTTTATGGTTTTTCATTGAAAACATACTACATTGTAAATGGAATTTCAAAGTTAGACAAAGAATTGATCAAAATCTAAGGACAATATTATGTAAGGACAGTATTATTAAAAATGGATAGAAAAAAGTTTCATTTGGTGAAGTTAATCTAAGGGATGCATAACCATGTCATGTTGGACGGATAAAAAAGGTGATAACCTTGTGCTTTTATTCAACTAAGGTACTTACCAAAACCTTAGGTTTTACACAGGTGTCAAACTCCCACCTGGAAAGGGATAGTTTTTTATATTACACCTAAATTTACTTTAAATAACTGAAGCCCAAGGCAACAGTTGTTTAAAGAACTTAACAGTCGAATAACTACATAATTTAGTACATTAAAATAAAACTAGGACAGTGATAGTCGAGTGTCTCAAAAATACACAACTGGGGAAAAGAATCACTGTACACAATTTGGAGGTTGTTAAAGTGACCACTCAGAAGGTTGAACAGTGCAAGACATGCTTTTCCAGTTACAAGTTCAAAACAGGAGTGCAAACAAAATTAAAGCTTCTGTTTAAAGTTGTAGAATAAGGAAAGCTTAACATTAATATTAAAAAGCTTCCCTCAGGTCATCCCCCAGAAATGACATAATCGAAATGCTTTTTCATGGTACAATTTTCCTCAATGAACTTTCCTTCAATGGCAAAACTTCATCCTGCAAGTCAGGTTCCTTCCTCACCCGCCACATCTGACCAATGAGCACACATGGTGGTGGTGAGTGGAGAACAGTACTAGCTCCCGGAGGTCCAATATCCATAGAAAGAGCCTTGGGATTTGGGTTCTACTTAGCCAGTGTACCTGAACCCTACGAGAGGAGTTAAAGCAATGGGCTGTAAGAGCCTCTTGTTCTTATAAAACTGGAGGACAGATGGACTAACAAATCCCCCTCCAGAGGCAAGCTGTTGTGGTGGAAGATGTTAAGTGCTTAAATAAACTAAAACACTGCTCTAAAAAGTGGAGAAGTATAGAGGTTCAAGATTAATACCAGTGCAAGAGCTTTTAAGTGAATTGATTAGGCAATGCATGCATCTATTCATGCAAATGTAGGACATGGCCCCCAAAGAGAATTGAAAACATGTATATAACAACTGGATAAGTCCCTTGCCAGTAGTTTATAAAAATATATAGTCAATACTGTAGAGGCTCCTTCTACAGTCAATACTATGGAAGTTCGTTTTAGTTACCCATTACTTCATTACCAAAAAGCATTAACTACTTTTTTTCAGACATTCCAGACAAAGGTCACTTATAACAAAAAGACAATTTAAAAAAAAACAAAAAACAAAAAACAGGATAGTGTCCATTTAAAAAGTAGGTCTTTTCTTTCAAGTGAGCAGGACATTTTCTGTATTAAACTTAACTAGCCTGTCAAGACTGGGTTTAAGATTCTTATGTTATGTGCATATATGCAGAAACAAATTAACTTACTTTAAACATTATCTGCACAGAAAAAAATTAACTCCTCAAAACATGATAGAACAGGTCTGGTTAGTACAAATCTATTGCAAAGTAAAAAGATTCTGTGCATCAGTTCAACCAGGAGAAGCGGGAAAAGAATGTCCCAACCACAAGAGTTCAAGTGTAAGTTGTGTTCTGAAAGCCTAGAAGCCTAAGGGACACCATGTTGCTCACAGTATCCTGATATGCATAACTGCGTAAGCTACTAAGCCACATCTTCCTCTGGCGCTAGAACCACATTCCAGTTTACTTTCTATTCCGAAGACGTTTCGATTTCCTAAGAGAGTCTATGGCTTCCGTGGCCTTTTTTCGTTTCCGGGGAGACTCCTCGTTCTGCCCAGACCCTGAGGAGTTTCCTACAGCACTTTCCATTACTTCTCGGAGTTTGCGTTCCAGCTCCGCCAACCGTGCGTTCTGTTCACCTATGATCTGGGTCTGCTCTAGCAGTTTCTGGTCCTGGTCTTGAAGCTGTTTCTGCTGTTCTTGCACTTTGGTGCGGAGCTCAGAAATTTCACGCCTGAGAACAGTCACGCCAGCACCATTTGTTTTAACCTGCTGCTGGAGTTTGGTGACTTCTTGTCTTGAAGGGTTCTGCTTGGAGAAGAGCTGCATTGTTGTGAGGGCTGCAGATGGTCCCGGAACTGTGGAGAGATTGGTGAAAAGGGTCAGTTCCTGAAATGTCTCCCTCACAGTAATACTTAAACTTATTCTGGACTAGAATATCCTTACTGTATCACTTTTGATACTTTCTTCTCTGCAATCCACTTAGTCTGACGAGTTAATTACCTTGCTTTAACTATAAATGAGTTTGAATTCCGATTCTCTTGCTCATGTGGCAGTATGTGCACCAAGAAGGGCATTTACTGACAAACTTGAATTAAAAAGAAAAATTATATACATATATATATTTGAGTGGGAGTCACACTCCATCAACCCAGGCTGGAGTGCCGTGGCACGTTCATGGCCACCCCAGTGTCGACCTGCTGGGCTCTGGCGATCCTTCTGCCTCAGCCTTCCAAGTAGCCGGAGCCAGGCGCATGCTACCATGCCCAGTTAATTTTTTTATTTGTTGTACAGATGAGGTCTTGCCAAGTTGTCTGGGCTGGTCTTGAACCCACGGGCTCAGGCAATCCACTCACCTCGGCTTCCCAAAGTGCTGGGATTACAGGCTGAGCCACCGAGCCCAGCTGGATTTAAAGTATTATAAAGCATTTTTAGGACCTAGTAAAATATAAGTAGTAAAATTAGAAAACATTTATTTTCTATCTTATACACATAAACAAATATAAACTTTCTTTCTTTTTTTTTTTTTGAGTTGGAATCTCACTAGGTCACCCAGACTGGAGTGCAGTGGCACGCTCCTGGCCACCACAGCCTCAACCTGCTGGGCTCCAGCGATCCTTCCACCTCAGCCTTCCAAGTAGCTGGAACTACAGGCGTGCGTTACCACGCCCGGCTAATTTTTTTGATTTATTGTAGAGATGAGGTCTGGCCAAACTGCCCAGGCGGGTCTCGAACCCGCGGGCTCAGGCAATTCACTCACCTCAGCCTCCCAAAGCGCGGGATTACAGCCTGAGCCACCAAGCCCGGCCAAATATAAACTTTCAAGTTACAAGTACAGACCTACAGGTTGATCCTCCCTGACCCATAGATCTGAAATCTGAAATACTCTCACATCAGAAACTTTTTGAGAACTGACATAATACTCAAAGGAAATGCTCACTGAAGCATTTTGGATTTTTTAGATTAGGGATGCCCAACCAGTAAGTATAATGGCAAATATACCAAAATCAGAAAAAAAAATTCAAAATCCAAAACGTTCAGATAATGAATAATCAAACCCATATCATGTTCCCAAATTCACTCTGCACTTGGTTGTAAGTAAAGGTTTCAACTTTTGCCAAATAATAGAGACTCCATCGAAGAGTGGATTATATCATACATTATGATCATGAAGAATTTGACACGATATAGGAAGACTTCGGATCTATTCTTTTAGGAATAATTGGAATGTAAAATGGGCATACAAATAACTATTTTAAGCCAAGAACCTACTTTTTAAAACCCTATCTACTGACGGTTTTCTAAAAGAACCAGATGGATCCATTCATACCCTAAACTCATGTTAATTTTCTCCTTGCACATCTAAATAACCAAATAACCAAAATATTTTCCTTGACTGATACATTCTTCCTTCCCTCTGTTCATCCTCATCTAACTTCTACTCACACACTAAGACTCAGATCAATTCTTACCTCTTGTGGAGTTTCAGTCAGACCAGGAAATGCTGATCTTATCTACCTGAAAGTGTCTATTTCTGCTACTCATTTGACATTTAACTGGACACTGTCTTAAAGTATTTCTCTTGCCTATGATAATTTAACGCTGAGTCTAGGTATGTCTTACCTTTTCAAATAGTAAGATCCTTGAAAGCAGACACCATGTGCTACACTTCTTTTTAGTCTCCAGGGACACAGTACAGTGCTGTGTGCATAACAGGTACTCAATAAATGATATGTTAATTCTGAGATTTGTAGGCTTTATTATTAAATTACAGCAAGTCACTCAGTTGTTCCACTGAGTACCATGGGGAGCTAACAAATTTGAACAAAAAGTGTTTTTCTGAATTTAAAGTTGAAAAAAATTAGGGTATTGAAATATTTAGTCTTTCAATAGATAAGGTCACAAATTTCTAGGATACTTTTACAAACTTGCTACCATCGATGCAGTGATAGTGCTCAAAATAGTCTTCCTGAGCCCTTTTAAAGTAGCAGCCAGATACTTTGGAGGCTTAAATGTTTCACTGAATAGTTCCATGAAGACTTTTTTTTTTAGGTTTTATCTGGTATATTTAATTCTGTTTTGAAGAAAAGGATATTAATTAGAAACATAAAACAAACACAAACAGACTGTCCCCAATACACAAATGGTTTAACTTACGAGTTTTTCGACTTTTCAGTGGCATGAAAGCAACACCCATTCAGTAGAAATTGCGCTTCCGGTACCCATACAATGATTCTGTTTTTCTTTTTGAGATGAAGTCTCAACAGGCTGGTCATGAACCCACCCCTGGGCTCAGGCAATCCTCTCACCTCTCCTCCCAAAGTGTTGGGATTATAGGTGTGAGCCACCAAGTCCAGTCCTATTCTGTTTTTCACTTTCAGTTCAGTATTTAATAAATTACAAAAGCTATTCAATGCTTTATTATAAAATAAGTTTTGTGTTAGATGATTTTGCCCAGCTATAGGTTAATGTAATTGTTCTGTGCACATTAAGGTAGGCAAGGCTAAGCTTTGATGTTTGGTAGGTGTATTAAATGCATTTTTGACTTATGGTATTTTCCTCTTATGCTGGGTTTACCTTGATGTAATCCCACCGTAAATGGAGGAGCATCTGCATATAACTTCACACAGCAATTCTGCTAATGAATTTACTGTAAATCAATAGTTGTAGATATGTGCAAAGATTTAGCCACAAGATTATTCAGATAGTTCTTCAGAATGTAATTTAGATATTGAAAAACTAGAAACAACAAATGTGCCTAATAGCAGTGGACCAGTTATACAATCCAATCTTTAATCCAATCTTTCATTAAAAATGATATTGCCCATAAACATTTACTGGCACAGAAAAGTTCAAGATAACTGAAAAAAAGGGAAGCAAGTTATAAAACGGTACACAAATATTATCCTACAATGAACATACTATAAACAAGAGATACCTGGAGGAGAGCCCATGAGTCTTCCAGACACATCTGATCCCGGTAATTTCCTCTTTAGAATTGGAACAATCTTTTCATCAAAGTATTCCATTGCCATGGAGGAAATATCCCTTAATTCTTGAAGAACTTCATGAGCTCGTTGAGGAGCTCTGGTAGAATTAACATATCTCAACACACGATATATCTCATCAATCACCTAAAATAATAAATTCTCATTAGCACTTTAGAACTTCCTAAAAAAAAAAACAGCTGAATAGACAGAGAAGTGACTGCTTGTTCTGAAAGTTCTATTAAGACCTATAGGACAATTTAACTCATGTACTGACCACTGATGACATGCTCATCTGTAGCACATAGCTTTTGGGCTTGCTACAGCATTTTAAAATTTTTTTTTGAGTTGGAGTCTCACTCTGTCACCCAGGCTGGAGTGCTGTGGCACACTCATGGCCACCCCAGTGTCGACCTGCTAGGCTCTGGCAATCCTTCCGTCTTAGCCTTCCAAGTAGCCAGAACTACAGGCATGTGCTACCATGTCTGGCTAATTTTTTATTTATTGTAGAGACGAGGTCTCGCCAAGTTGCCCAGGCTGGTCT